CACACACACACACACACACACACACACACCCCTCCAGCGGCGCTTTATAAGCGCTCCTCTCATGTGGATCTCTCTCCAGTCTCACTCAGCTGTCCTGAAGCTCTCTGAATCTCCTGCTGAATATGGCACCAGTCGGATCAAAGAGGGTGAGTTACTGGTTTAGACACTTTTAGCGATTCTTCAGTCCAGTTTGTGCGTTTGCAAGCGCGTTATTTTTACATTAAGAGCATGAGATCCTGCAGGTGCTTTATATTTAATCCAGCGATTAATATATCAGCTCTCAGTCTCACACACATGAACAGAAGCACGCAAACTTGTGTTAAAGTGTGTTAATGCGGTGACCTGATCCACACGGTTGCACGCGTCCTTTCGCGTCTCTGCTGTAAATAAGTGTAAGTGTGTTCAGGGTGTTCTGGAGCGCCTGGGCGCGGGTGAGGTGGTGATCGGTGACGGAGGCTTCGTGTTCGCGCTGGAGAAGAGAGGATACGTGAAGGCCGGTCCCTGGACACCGGAGGCCGCTGCGGAGCACCCGGAGGCCGGTGAGACTCACCCCAAACAACAGGCAACGGGTCCCAGCTAACAGTCCAAAGTTATAAACAAAACCTCTTCCAATAACGTTCATAGAAGCTTCGTTCCAAGTTCATCTGGTCTTGAATAATGTTCTCCGAATGTTAGCACTTACACATTATTCAAGGAATGTTTTCTTATAAAAACGTTTTAGTTTAGTTTTTGAAATGTTACTTGTTTCAGAACGTTCAGGGACCGTTTAAAAAAGTAACGTTCCCATAATGCTTACACAATTATAAAAACAAAATCTTCTCTTAACATTCGTATAGCCAAGATTTTTTTTTTAACTTTTAAGAAAACTTTAGAGAGCATTCAGAAATAATATTTTCATATATATTAGTTTCATAACATTAATATTTTCATAACATTAGCATAACGTTCTTAGAACATTTTGTTCGCTGGGATACCAGAGATTTATGGATGTGTAGGAATATAATACTATGCTGCTTTTCTAAGTTAATTATTACATTTATTAGTTGATTAATGATTCATTACATTTTGTATTCCAAGTTTTCTTGAGTGTTATGTTTAAATATGCAAACGAGGCGTTATGTAATTAAATATGCATATATTTGCATATATTTGCATAACATAAATCTGAACATTGGATAAAGCCAGGTTCATAATTCTTGTTTGATTTTGTTGTCCAGAGGTGGTTTTGGATTTCTCTTTTTATCACTCCATAAATCAGAAAATACTGTCAACAGACAGAAAACAAACATGTTTTTTTTCACATGTTTTTAGGAGTAAAATGTTGTCAGTGTGAATGAAATATGAACAAACCTTCAGGATATAGAGAGGAATAAAACTAAAGTGTGGTGTTTGTAAGAGATTGAAATCTACAGATGAAGTGTAATGTAATAAACACTTAAATGTCTATTTTGCATGCTTTCTTTCCACTAGTCTTAAACAACACGTTATGGAAGATAAATAGACCAAAATCAAAAATGACCAGTGCATGAAAAAACTCTGGTGTCTTGCCTAACTTTAAATATATTATTCTAGGTATATTCTATAGCTAGTTTGTACTTGAACATTTTACAAGTGTTCAACAAAGCCTAGATTCTCGGTTCTTCCTCGTAAACGTCTCATGGAGTGTTTCTGTGGCTCATTAGCTGTATTTAGAGTCGCATGTGTTTCTCTCTCATCAGTGCGACAGCTGCACAGGGAATTCCTGCGGGCCGGGTCAAATGTCATGCAGACGTTCACTTTCTACGCCAGCGACGACAAACTGGAGAACAGAGGGAACAAGCTGACTTTCACCGTGAGTCGCTCGCATTCACACGCATCGCTCAGTTAGCAGCCACTCAGCTCCTCGTCGTGATCAGAAGCATGTACTGCACTGATCTCAGATCAGTTAGAGCTCATTTTAAACGTTGCACAACTCTGGTCTCAGATCAGCGTGCAAAGATTACAGCCAAAGACTGACAGAGATGTTTGCTGACCGTGCGCAGGGCCAGCAGATCAACGAGGCCGCCTGCGATCTGGCCAGAGAAGTAGCCAATGAGGGCGATGCTCTGGTGGCCGGCGGAGTCTCGCAGACGCCCTCCTACCTCAGCTGCAAGAGCGAAGACGAGGTCAAGAAGATCCTAAAGAAGCAGCTGGATGTCTTCATCAAGAAGAACGTGGACTTCCTGATCGCCGAGGTGAGAACGTGCGAATATAAACCACACGTGAGATCTCAACAAGAACTCAAACATTTCTCATCACGTGCTCACTGACTGTAGTTGATTGATTGATTGATTGATTGATGGATTGATTGATTGATCTGCAGTACTTCGAGCATGTGGAGGAGGCTGAATGGGCTGTCCAGGTTCTGAAGGCAACAGGAAAGCCTTCAGAAACACGGCGTGTGGGGCAGCGGCCTGGAGATGCACACCAAACCCTGGGTCCGAGCCCGGTGAGAGAGTGAGAGAGAGAGAGAGAGAGAGAGAGTGAGAGAGAGAGTGAGAGAGAGAGAACATGTGTCTGTGACACTGATGGATGTTTGCTCCGCAGGGCCCGTCGTGATTACTGGGAGCGGCTGAAGCCGGCGTCCGGTCGCCCGCTGTGTCCCTCCATGTCCACTCCTGACGGCTGGGGGGTCACCGTGAGAGAGAGAGAGAGAGAGAGAGAGTGAGAGAGAGAGTGAGAGAGAGAGAACATGTGTCTGTGACACTGATGGATGTTTGCTCCGCAGGGCCCGTCGTGATTACTGGGAGCGGCTGAAGCCGGCATCCGGTCGCCCGCTGTGTCCCTCCATGTCCACTCCTGACGGCTGGGGGGTCACCAAAGGTCACACCGAGCTCATGCAGCAGAAGGAGGCCACGACCGCGGAGCAGCTGTGTCCGCTCTTCCAGAAAGCCGACGGCAAACACTGAGGGTCAGAGGTCGAGCCGCGCCGCGTTTAGAAACCTGCGGTACTACAGGAGACACTTAAGAGAAATAATCTGTCTACCTCTTTCCTTCCTTATTGTACGTTTACAAACGCTGATTTCATGAATAGGATTGTTTACTTCAGCAGGACCAGAAGCTCTTTAGAAACCAGATGAAGTGTAATTGTGCCGTTAGAGGCCATTCTGTATTTGACTGCTTTCTGAGCCGCCGCGCATCACGCTAACATCACGGATCGGTCACATGACCCATGTGGCGGAGCTGCATTCCAGATGTTCGGAACACTCCAGTCCGACCAGAGCTTCCATTCAAGAGTCGGATTCCTGATGCTCAATAAAAACTCATCATGATCTCAATCACTCTCTTTGTCATGGAGTTATTTAATAAATTAATGGGATTTCAATCATTAAACATACGGTGATCACAATCAGAATCATGAGATCTATTAAAGCAACAAGCCCAAAAACAGTATTCTTCCACCAAACAATGTAGTTCCTCAGAATCAGTTGTGGTTGCAACAAAGTGGTTGCCGAGCAACACACAAACGTAAACAAAGGTGTATGTTACTTTGTAGAGTCATTTACAACAGCTTCGAACGCGGCTCAGCCAATCAGAATCAAGCACCGGAACTCTCCGCTTTATATTGATAAGTATGTTCACATACACAAGGACAGAAGTGCACAAAAACAGCAATAGTACACAGACGGTGAAATAAAACAAAAATCTGAAAACGAGAAGTGACGTTTAAAAAAATGTGAGATGAACATTCAACTAACACGAAGATGCAGTATTGAAAGACCAGATAACTTTGAACGTTTGATTACCCTTACTGCAGAAACGTTTGCTCATAACATTGAGAGAGCATTGCCAGCACGTTCTGAGAACACCGTTAGCTTTAATGTGAAAGTGCAGCTCATAACTCATAAACAGAGCGTAATAACACAACATGAGCTCTGTTTAAGAATGAGCACAGCATCCACAAGTAAAATATGTAAAGGAGTAGTTCACTTCCAGAATAAAAATCTCCTGATGATTTACTCTCCCCCGTGTCATCCGAGATGTTCATGTCTTTCAGGCTTCTGTCGCAAAGAAATGAAGGTTTTTGAGGAAAACATTCCAGGGTTTTTCTCCATATATATGGAGTTCAATGGGGACCAACGTGCTGAAGATCAAATCACAGTTTCAGAGCAGCTTCAAAGAGCTCTACAGGATCCCAGCCGAGGAATAAGAGTCTTATCTAGAGAAACCATCGCTCATTTACTAAAAAAATAAAATAAAATTCTATACTTTTTAACCACAGATGCTAGTCTTGCACTCGCTGGACTTCACGCATGACGTAATCACGCTGGAAAGATCAAAAACCTTCATTTCTTTGCGACTGAAGACAGAAAGACATGAACATCTCGGATGACATGGAGGTGAAATTATCAGGTTTTTATTCTGGAAGTGAACTAATGTTATGCTGCACGTGTGTCGGCCAGTGGCGCCACCTAGTGGACGGGAATCGACATTCACTGAGAAAAACACTGAAATAAACACAAAGCGGCGTCTCGTGCATTACTCGTGAATGTAACGGGTCACGTGACGAGAGTTAAGCTATTGAACAGACATTTATAGCCGCGCGCTTCATCAATTATTGATCAGAGAGATGATCAATGCTCTCTCATAGAAACCAGCATTAGAGTAAAAACGACACTGATAAAGCATTTTCTTGATAAAACGCGATAAACAAAACATCTGAGGGGGGAAAGACTGCAAAGTTACTTTCTGTGAATCTACGCGTGTTTCTCTGGTCTAGACCACCGTGCGTCGCCTGCGTCTCTGATTGCGTCATCACGCAGAGTGCGTGTCCCACGTGCAGATGTTTACGTCCGCCTCTTTGTGACGTCAGCGCCCAGTCGTCGTCGGATGAGAAACAGTCGCGATGTTAAAGATGCGGATTAGCGCACAAAAGGCCTCGCGGGTGACGCGACGCGCGCAGGTGTGAACGCGTAGCGATGCGCGCGTCAGCGGACGAGTCGGGACACAAGAACAGACGGGAAATCGTGGATATTACTGGACCGAGTGTTTTCATCCGCGTCCGTTAGTCTGGCCTTTCTTCTGCCGAGGAGCCCGGATTCCGTTTGAGCTCGCTTGCTTTCTCATTATCATGTCGTTCGCGATGGAGGACGCGCTGGAGTCCGGGTGGGTGTCGGTGCGACCGAATGTTTTCGAGGAGAAGGAGAAGCACAAGTTCGTCTTCATCGTCGCCTGGAACGAGATCGAAGGAAAGTTCGCCGTCACGTGCCACGACCGCACCGTCCAGAAACGGAGCGCCGCGCGGGACTCGCTGCTCGAGGGAGACGCGCCTCCCCTGACCGAGAGCCCGGGCCGAGAGCGAGCCGAGCCCGGCAGAGCCGCCCGCAGCGCGGAGCTGGAGGCACCGGAGCCCGATGACGCGCCGGCGGAGCTCCCGGAGGACTCCAGCTGGGCCGGGCTCTTCTCCTTCCAGGACATGCGCGCCGTTCACCTGCAGCTGTGCGCCGTCAACTCGGACCTGGAGCCGTGCCTGCCCGCCCTCCCCGAGGAGCAGACGGTGTGGTCGGTTCTGTTCGGGGCCCCGGAGCTGAGCGCGCGAGACACAGACGCGCTGTGCTTCCAGCTGCAGGTGTATCTGGGGCACGCACTGGACACCTGCGGGTGGAGGATCCTGTCTCAGGTTCTGTTTCCGGACAGCGACGACTGCGAGGAGTACTACGAGAGTCTGAGCGAGCTGCGGCGCAAGGGCTTCGAGGACGCGCTCCAGAGAGCCAAGAGACACCTGCAGCAGGTGAGATCAGCATCATCCGCTACATCACCGCACAGCTCACAGTACACGTGTGCAGGCGCTGACAGAAATATGTGCTGTAAACGTTATTTCTGAATGTTTGTTCATAACTTTCAGAGAACCTTAGACAAAGTTCAGTGGATAGCAAACCTCAGCCGTGTGATTGTTTATATCGTGGCATAATCTCACTATATTATCATCCAGCTATAATCTGATAAATGTGACGATAAGACATGAAGATAAAGAGTGAAAAATTTAAGGGGGTCTGAATACTTTCCGTACCCACTGTATATACTTATATTAAGATATAATAAACAATAACATCACGATTTTCTGCAAAATATACAAATACATTTGACTTGACTAACTGCAAACACACACACTCACACGCGCACACACTCTCACACGCACACACACACACACACTCTCACACACACACAACACACACGCGCACACACACGCACACACACACACTCTCACACACACACGCACACACACACACACACACACAATGATCAGTTCAGATCACTCTGACACATCATACACACACGTGTCATAACTGAAGATCATACATGTGTGTGACACACTATACGCCAGTCACAGCCTGTTATGGAGACTTTTATATGCGTTTTCTTTTATGTTCATCTCTAATATTTTTCATCAGGTGGAAGTGGCTCTTTGTGAAATAGAAACTTTTCAAATCCATATTTACACTGAAAAACATTTGGTATTTACTTCTGAATACTTTTAACAGTTAGGGCTGAGTATCGTTCAAAAAATGTTGATACCGATACCTTGACTACGATTCCGGTTCCTGAACGATACTTTTTTTGATACTAATTTTATTAAATCCATTTTAACAAGATAACATTATCTAAAAAAAACTTTGGTTTTATTTTTCAGCTTGTTGATGTTTATACAAACTCAAAGACTCATCTCCTGAGCCACTGCACAAAAGAACAAAATGTAACCAACACAATAAATCAGTGCTAATAGTTTTAATAAAGCTCAAATAGTTTTCAGTGCAAAATGAACAGTTTTAAGTCAGTATGTGAGAATCACTGCTGCATGCTCAAGATCTAAAAATCACTCAGCAGTTCTTCAAAAAGATGAGCATGTCTGCTTGTTCAGGAGACAGACGAGCCCTCTCTTCACTGATGATGTCCTCAGGACTAATGTCCCTAGGCTACGCTTACACTAGTGCGTATTTGTTTTAAAACGCATAGCTCAGACGGAATCAGTTCTATTCACTTTCCACTGATTTACACGATCTGATGAGCATTAGCTGCTTCCAGCGCTGTCTGCCTGTGTTTTCTCTTCCACGATCGCTGCTCTGACTCAGAGGAAGCTCATTCGCTGCTCATCTGTCAATCATAACCGGCTCTGGGATGTGGGCGGAGCCTCTACACTTCCAGTAGAACTAAACCTAGTAAAGTAAACCATCACTAGCTGCCGTCAGTGTCAGATGTGATGATCAGCACACGGGTCACTGAACCCCTGAACCATCTGTCAGAGAGAAACCTGACCCAGAGGCAGCACAACGAGTGTGAGCAGATTACACACACACACACAAAGCACTCGTTACCATGGTGACGCACACACTCACCTGCACTAGTGATCCGTTCACGCTGCTGTGAGTGACTGTACAGCGCTCAACACACGCTCATTAAACATTTAAGACATTTTCATTGAACTTCCAGCTTAAACAACTGTGGCTGATGTCAGAGGCGTCACTAACAGACCATAATCACTGCTCTCTGCTCAGTTAAATACAGCTGACTTTACAGTGGTGATGTCATCGGGGCGGAGCTACTCACTCTCACACACACACACTCACACACACTCACTCTCACACACACATACACACACACACACTCTCTCTCTCTCTCACTCGCACACACACACACACACACACTCACACACACACACACACACACACACACACTCTCTCTCTCTCACACACACACACACACACACACACACACTCTCTCTCTCTCACACACACACACACACACACACACACACTCTCTCTCTCTCACACACACACACACACACACACACACACTCTCTCTCTCTCACACACACACACACACACACACACACACTCTCTCTCTCTCACACACACACACACACACACACACACACTCTCTCTCTCTCACACACACACACACACACACACACACACTCTCTCTCTCTCACACACACACATACACACACACACACACACATACTCACACGCACACACACACAAACCTATATGACTTTCTTTATTCAGTGGAACACAAAAGAAGAGAAATGTCTCAGTGTTTTTTGTACATATAATGAAAGTCAATGGGGTCCAATGTTGCTGGTTCTCAAAGTTCATTTGTGTTCCACTAAAGAAATCCTGGTCATTTTTGGGTGAACAATCCCCTTAGAGCACTGCTAAAAATACCACATCTGAAAACATGTGCTGCTGTGTGTGAGTGTGTGTGTGTGTGAGAGAGATAGTGTGCTTGTGTGTGTGTGTGTGTGTTTAATGGCTTGTGTGTCCAGTATTTATGACACATTTGCACATTAATATGTATGATGAAGTGTGAATGAGCAACATCCCACACACACACACTCTCAATAAGCACAAACACATATGGCAATGTTTCACATGCTACACCCATCAGGAAATAACACCAGCGACCCGCTGACCTTTGACCTGCTGACTACAGAGCCCATCACAAACACATGCTAGATAACAGCTCTCTGAACACTCGTCTGTCCTGCAGAGCTGAAGCAGACCGATTCACCAACCAATGAGAGCTCTCCGTACAGTCACATACAGCAGAGACAAACACACACACACTCACTCACTCACTCACTCACTCACACAAACCTGCAGCTCATTCAGCCTGATGAAGATGTAGAAATGCTTCCCATGGAAGAGTCACATGACATCACTGCTGTCAGCCAATCAGGAAGTTTTCCACAGTGACTCACGTATCCTGTGCCAAAACAGGAGAGAGGAAACAGGATGTGATGTCACAGCTGGAGGGGTTTTCCAGCATGAACACAGTGAGCGAAAACCTACAGTAGAACCATCCTGCGGCTGTATTCCTGCACACACAGCCCTTCATCATCATCATCATCTTCATCAGTTAACGTCTCTGCTGTACAAACTCACACTCATCAAGGGCCAAATAACATACACTACCATTCAAAAGTTTGGGCTTTTTTATAAGAAATTACTGCATTTATTCATCAAGGATGCATTAAATTGATTAAAAGTGACAGTAAAGACATTGATAATGTTACAAAAGATTTATTTTTCAAATAAATGCTGTTCTTTTGAACTTTCTGAAATCCTGAAAAATAAAACGCATCACAGTTTCCACAGAAACATTGTGCAGCACGACTGTGTTCAACATTGATAATAATCAGAAATGTTTCTCGAGCAGCAAATCAGCATATTAGAATGATTTCTGAAGATCATGTGACACTGAAGACTGGAGTAATGATGCTGAAAATACAGCTGCGCATCACAGAAATAAATTACAGTTTAACAGATATTCACATAGAAAATGGCTATTTTGCTTTATAATAATATTTCACTATTTTTTACAGTATTTTTGGTCAAATAAATGCAGCCTTGATGAACAGAAGAGACTTCTTTCAAAATAAAAAAAATTCACCAACCTCAAACGTTTAAACGGTGTAACTTCATTAGAACACAATGAACTCAAACTCTCATTCACAGTGATGCGCAGCGCTGAAACTGTCTGTGATGTGGGTCATGTGACCAGATGTAAATATTATTTACACCAGCAATAGATGTGAAAGCATCAGCAGGTGTGGATTCAAATCAGAGACGGTCTGTTACAGCAGGTGTGTTTGTACCTGAACAACAGCAGCTCGTCTCCACGCACACACATGGCTGTGGTCTCCACGGCGACCGGTCGTCAGGGTAAAGAGAGGCTCAGTGTTGTTGATGTATGGAGCAGTGTTTGAGTTACACTCAGACTCACAGACAGTCCATTCATCTCCGAACAGAGCTCCACATTCACTATGAGCCCAAACACAACAGAGTCATTTACTGACTGGACACACTTCAGCGTCCAGACACCAGTGTGTGAGAGAGAGGATGAGTGTGATGATAACACATGATGAAGATCTGAGCACACCATTCACCAGCATCACAATGACATCACAATGTGACTCGACACGTTTTCAGGATCTGTCATATTTCACTTCCAAAGTCAGACAAAATATATTAATTATTTTGTAGCATTAGATTTAACTTAAAGTTTTTATGTAAGTTTGTTATGTGCTTTTTTTTTATTTGTACTAGTTTTTGCATTTTTTTTTCAGTTATGACTTTTTTAAAGTTATGATTTAAGTTTAATTTAATCTTATTTCTGTTTTAGTTTTTTTATTAACTTAAACCTATTTCAGTTGCCAAAGTAAAATGTCTAATTTTTAATTTTATTTAAGCTTTATTTTAATTAACATAAATGTATTATAATAGTTATAGTTATTAGTTAACAATAATAACCCTACTTCTCGCTCAATCACATTTGCTGCTTATGCGAGTATTGACTCTGTTAGTAAGTGCTGAAAACTGATAAAAAATAGTGATTGCAATTTAAAATGTGCTTGTTTGTAGGCCTAAACAATTTGGCCAAACTCAGTAAAAAAATAATATATAATATAAAATTAGTATTTAAGAAAAATAATATAATAATTTTATTTTATACTATATCTGTAAAATTACAATCCTGCTGTTGAAAGTGGATCAGACCGAGCACCAAAACACACTTCTAGCCAATCAGCAGTAAGGGGCGTGTCCACTCAGGACAGGGGAGGTGCTTGTGTTGCATAGCATGTTTGTGAATTTGGGGGCGGAGCTATCAAGATAGGGGTGTGATTCTTTTGGGTAGGAGCGTGCGATTTCAAATATCAACAGCGTTTCTCTGAAATTGCTTACTGCACCTTTAAATTTCACAGAAAACCGCAGGAGCTCTTAAAGCTTCTCTTTAGTTGATAAACACTTCTCATTACAAGTTTGTGGAGAAGGTTGGTTTATATTTTGCTTCCAAATGCACATTAAAGCGAGTCAAACTCACAGCTGATGCAGCTGGAGCTCATGTGGATCATTTACTGTGAACCGACACACTGAAAACACAGAATCATGAGCTGCTGACGTGCAAATCAACACAGTGCCGCGCTTCACTCTTAAACACACAGTATATTGTTTAAATAAACCATAGCCATTTAATAATCTTAATTTCAATGAAATCATAAATCGTGAATAACTCACAATTCTGGTTTTATGTCCATTAATCGTGCAGCAGTAGGTGTGTGTTCTGATATCCATCTCAGTTTGAACTAATCCTGGACAGACATCAGTCAGTGTGTGACGCGTGTGTATTGTTGTTATTGTCATGTGATGCACATGTCGTTATTATCATGTGACGTGTGTGTGTGTGTGTGTGTGTGTGCAGCTGCTGGAGAAGCAGCGCGGCGTGGAGCGGATGGTGGAGCTGCTGCAGCTGTACGCGGAGCAGGACGAGGCGTATGGAGATCTGGTGGAGGCCACGACTGAGCTCTACCACTACCTGCTGCAGCCCTTCAGAGACATGCGCGAGTTAGCCATGCTGCGCAGACAGCAGATCAAGGTACACATCACCTGCTCACAACAGACACACACACACACATACATAGCAACCGCTGCTTTAAACATGGACATTAAACATTAAAAGTGGAGGGTGCAGAGAGAGACTGAATCACGTCTGTGTGTGTGTGTGTGTGTTACACTAAACCATTGTCATGACTCAGCGCTTCATTGAGAGACTAGTTGAGCTTACAAGCACACAACACCTGTATGCAAATGACCCTCTGTTTCTAGTTTACCTGACAAACTGACAATTCAAGTTTCTGTGTGAGTGAGTGTGTGTGTGTGTTTGTTTGAGTGTGTGTGTTTGAATGTGTGTGTGTGTGTGATTGTGTGTGTGTGTGTGTGTGTGAGTGAGTGAGTGTGTGTGTGTGTAAGTGTGTGTGTGTGAGTGTGTGTGTGACACTATGAAACCCTTCATCATTCACACAAAAACACATGCAAATACTGCATGCTCATATTTGCATGTGTTTTCTGTGAATTAAAGGGATTTATAGTGATCACACACACACTCAAACACACACACACACTCAATCACACACACACACACACACA